AGGGGCCAGGGCGCGGGGGACAGTGGGGGCAGGGGAGAGAGAAAAGGAGAATTCACGCTCGCGCGTATCTCGATTTATCCTCCCGCCGCAACCGGAAGAAGCTTTGTTAACGCGACGTAAACACTTTTTAATTGCTCCCTCCAGCTATAACGCCGAACCGCAGAGCCGGCGGATTCCCACTTTTTCGCGCGTAACTCTTACGCTGACTGCGCGACGGACGGAGGAAAACGTCTCGAATAAAAGTCCCGGAGCTCGCCTTCGGGCGGAGCAAGCGCTCGCAAAAGCCCGCTTCGAGTCGACAGTTCGCCTTCTCGCCGGGTATTTTATTCTCGCTCATCAACTTCGGCTTCTCCCCCGCTCTTTCTCTCTCTCTCTCTCTCTCTCTCTCTCTCTCGCGCTCTCTCCCTCCCTCCCTCTCTCTCTCTCTCTCTCTCTCTCCCTCGACTGCGTAATAAACATTTCATATCGCCCGAGACTCGACAGGACCCTTGACAATTATTGCTATTATCATTGTTATCATGAGCGTTCGGATAAGACGTTATCGGACGGACAAAGAGGGAGAATCGACAGGAGTGATTCGCGTAACACGCTCGAGACTCCAGACGCGAGCCGTGTTATCCCCTCATTTTTTCCAACCACGACCCACCCTCGCAGCTATTCTCCTCTCCCTCTTTCTCTCTCTCTCTCTCTCTCTCTCTCTCTCTCTCTCTCTCTCTCTCTCTCTCTCTCTCTCTCTGGAAGATCCTCCATCATGGTGCGAACCGTGATTACGGCTTTCGAGTCTCGCCCGCGGATTTTACGACCCCGTCGCGAGTCACACCCCTCGCGGGCCTCGCGGGGCCCCGCGCCGCGTTCCCGACTTTCCGGAGCCCTCCTCGTCCTTCTCCCCCCCTTCTCTCTCTCTCTCTCTCTCTCTGTCTCACACACACCCCCGTTCCCGACCCGCCGCCCGCGCCCGAGCCCGAAAGTCGGGAGGAGCGGAGGCAACGTGCGGCATACGAACCGCGTGGAAATAAATAAATGCCCGGGGTGGCCGCCGACGGTGGAGCAGCGATAGAGGGGATGAATGCGAGAGAGGGTGGCTGACGAATTTCAGGGCCGTAGCTGCGAAGCCCGCGTCTCGTATCGATCCCGTCCTCGCCGAACGCACCTGCACCGATCGTCCCCGAGTGCTCGATGATTTGTGTCTTTTCCCTCTACGCAACCCGCCTCCTCCCCGCGCCCGTTTTTCTTTACGCACACAAACGCGCACAGAGCGGGCTCTTCTTTAATCTCACACAATTATATCCCGTTCGTCGGGGGTGAGACGACGCGACGCGGCGCGGCGCGGCGGAGCGGACGACCGCCGATTCAACGGTGATTCTACGCGACGCGATTGACGGGACATTTAGCGTGAAATGCGATCTCCGCTTTTACCGCGACGGAGAAGCAACGAGCGAAAGTGCTCGTCGAAATTGCCCGCGACGGGAAGGTCGCAAACTCAACGTGTGTCAACGAGTGCACTCGCGCGCGCGCGCGCGCGGCGAGAGCGTCTTCGGACGGGGAAAGAAAAGGAGGCAGCCTCGGCAGGCTCGCTCGCGGACGGGAATTCATTCGCGCCTTTTGTTATTGCAAACACCCAGACAAAATTTGCGTTAGCCGCGGAGCTTCGTTCTCGAAGGGGTCGCTATTTACCCCACGGTCGGTAACTCAACATTTAACCGTCTCGCGCTCCCTTTCTCTCTCTCTCTCTCTCTCTCTCTCTCTCGCTCGCTCTCTTTCTCTCCGAGGGGCTAAAAAAACTCTCTCCAATTAGACGAATCAACATCCGTGAGTCAACTTCGGGAAACGATAACAGTCTTGCCCCATTACAAGACTGCCGCTAAAATTCCCTTTGTTATCATCCCGGCAAATCCCAACGAAAATATTTCTCCGTGTTAAATTACTTTCACACCGCGCGTCAAGATCCCGGCGCTTATCCTCCTCTTAGTTACGTCTCGCTAACCGCCTAATTAAGTGCGTTAAATCGAGGCGGCGATTATTCGCGCGAGGCCCGCCGAAACGCGATATTTAATATCCCGCCTCTGCGCGCGCGCGCGCGGCATTCTTGCATTTGATCGGCGGCGTCGCGACGAGGCCGGGAAAATTGTTGCGACGCACACACGCACGCACGCACGCACGCACGACTCGCGCGCGTTATATCGCACAACGGCGGATGCGAATGAATTATCGACAGAATTTACGCCGCTAATTAATACGCGGCGTAAATCAGAATTACGAGACTATTAGTTTAAGCGGTTTCTGGTTACTACCCGGCGCGCGCATGTAAGGAAAATTCGAGCAGTTACACATCGGACGGGATATATTAACGAAGAATACTTCCGCGGCCGCGCCGCGCTGTAATAAAGCGCGGAATTAATCCCCGACGTGAATTGCACGTCGGGCAATCGCTCGACTCGCCGAGCGGGAGACGAAGATATCGTCCCGGCGACGACGTCGGCCGACGAAAAACGGAAAGCTGATTGGGTTGAACGGCGATCCGGCGGCCGCGCGTGGAAATTTCATTGCGGAATTTCCGCGGGAATTAACTCGACCCGGACTTTCAACGGACTTTCTCTCTCCTTCTCTCTCTCTCTCTCTCTCTTTCTCTCGCGCGCGCGCTCTGCGCGAGGAACGTGTCCGTAAGGTATATAAAATCGCTATAAATACTAATTATTCAATCAGTTTGCTCATTTAAGTTTACATAATCGCCGTAATAGGATATAAGTTATTAAGGGCGCGATATAACGCGCTCGCCCGCGCACGCCCCCGCTAATACGCTAATACGAATGCCGGGAGCGAGAGCTCCCATTTCGGCGGCTGGCGAGCGAACTATGCGAAAATCCTCGCTGCACGCACGGCAAGGAGGAGAGGGAGGGAGAGAGGGGGAAAGGAGAGAAGGAGGGCGAAAGCGCTAGCCGTCATTTTTATCGCGAAATTTTCACCATCATGTTTGGATCAAACGTCGTTCCGTATCGCGCTCGCTCGCGCTCGTTCCTCGAAAATGGATTCCTATCCTGCAATCCCCCTCCGCTCCGAGCTCAAAAATACACCCCGCCGTTCCCTTTTGCTCCTCTCGTTTTCAGTCGGTGGACCCACGCACGGGGAAACGAACGAGGCACGAGGGACTCCTCCGGATTTCGATTATCGTCGATAACTCGGCTGGATGTATCCCTTCCATACTAGCAGTAGTTTCCGGAAATTCGCCTCACCCTCGGGATTATCCCGCCCCGGGAATTCCTATCTCGCCACCGACGTTGCGTTCCCTCCGATTCCTGTATCTCTCTCTCCCTCCCTCCCGCCCGCCTGCCTGCCTCGTCGCCTTTCTCGCTCTCTTCCTCTGTTTCCGTTTCTGTCGCACCCCAATGCCGAATATGCCGCCTCTCTCTCTCCCTCTCTCTCTCTCTCTCTCTCTCTCTCTCTCTCTCTCTCTCTCTCTCTCTGCCCCTCTCCCTCTCTGTTTTCACTCTTTCCCCCTGTCTTCGGATCCGCGTTCGATTTGTCCCGAATTACTTCATTGGGTGTGTTACGCAGCCCCGCTCTTCCCTCGCGGCGTAAAACGCGCGAACGGCCGAGTCTCGGCAAAGACGTATGTCTTTACGCGACGCCTGTTTACGAGACGTCAAAGGCGGACGTTATCGTTGCCGAGATGATCCAAGCGTAGATGACGTCGAGCATCATTCCTCGCGCGGGAAGAAAACTCCGAACGCAAATGACGCAAACGCACGCCGACGCGAGAAGTGCGCGGCGGAGACACACTTAAAAAGGTGCCCCGAGCAAAAAATTGTTAGGATCATCCTTAGGAAACATAAGGCCCCGTTAAGGCTGAAAGTAGGATGTCCTGAAAAGGGATGTCTCATTATTACCACTTCGGGCCCCGTGGTGGATCTTTTAGAGATACCAATTAGATTTTACAAAATAACGCTTTAACATGGAACACTGGATGTGGGCCTTAGAAGGACCATTTAACGATCCTTTAGATATACAAAATCAAGTTTTATTATAGAGAATTAGTAAGGTCTGAAGCGTGTAATAAAATTGTCATAGTTTAATGTTGTTTTAGTAGGTACCCTCTATCTCGTTTTTTCAAAGATTTTTTAATTATACCGCAATTAAAAACAAATTTTATTAGTTGCCATATTCATCAGTCTCTTCCAAGGATTTTTCTAATATTGCCTTCGTTTTGAAACGCAGGAAAGCCAACTTTGATAAAAACAGTAGCAAGATTTTTATGTGTAAAGAATGTTATAAAGAATGTTGTATAAAGTATGCTATATTTTTAAAATAAAAAATTCTTGCTCTATACTAACAAGATTATAAAGAAATAAAGAAATTACAGTCTACAAATTTCTTGGAATGTAAAGAAGGAATATTTTTACTCAAGCAATAATAGAAATATTTTCTTACGGGGCCCTATCAATATTGCCTTATAAGGCCTAGTTGATATTACCTTATAAGGTACCCTCATAATATTACTTTATAAGAAACCGTTAAGCCGTTTCCCGAGCAGAAGATCGTCCCACGGCCGTATTAAAACCCAGTCGAAATTTCCAATAGGGCCCGAATAACTTTATCGGATCCGGCACGTAATAAGGAGTGAAACGCACTGCTGCATAATGCCCTGATAAAATTGCCTGAAATCGAGAAGCCTGATCAAATGTTCATCAGGACCAAATCAGGCATCCAAATAATGACGTCCTCGCTGCAGTCAGGGTATAATCCGGAAAATATTGCAAGACAATTGCCACGTTCCGACCGGATAAGGACCACTCGAAATGCCTTCTTATGGCTTGCCTAGTCATGCCATATCGGGCATAAAAAATTGCCATATTTAATTTCTGCTCGGGTTGTTACAAATCTTGTAGGGCCCGATTAATGTTAGGGAAAAATAATCAGGCCCTTATCAGAACCTTATTAATTTTTCTACTCGGAACGTTGCATTTACGCGTGTTCTTATACACGTCTATTTCTTGCCGTTTCAGAATGCTCATTTCCGGCCAAGTGGGAAGGCACGTGGTTCCAAAGTGGCGTGAGGCAGCCGATAGTGATATCCAGGAACGAACTATCCAGCAAGGGCAGATGCTTGCACAACGAAGGCGACAAGTTTCTTCTGGTGGATCAGTAAGTGATTCGACGGTCACGCGCTTCTTGCCGGAGCGTTTCACGAGCGACTTCAGCACTCACGCGACCGCGCGTCTACGAGAGGACATCGCGGATAGACCTTCTCTCATTTTCGCTGCGCTACATTTTTTTATTTTTTCCCTCCCCCGCCCGACGGGGGATTAATGGCCATAAAATATCGAGTTCGGCTTTGGCCATTCGAACTTAGCAAGTGGCAAATTCAACTCCGTACAGACGATCGAGATAGCGAATTCCGCGAACGTGTTTCGTCGCGGGGAGGGGGGAGGGGAGGGGAGGGAAAACGAAGAAACCGACGCTTGGTCCAACGGGTCTTTCGTCTGCGAACGGGAAAATTCACGGGCACTCGCGTGTGCTCGTTTTTACTTCCGAGCGCGAGTCGCGTCGTAATAAATAATAATCAGGCAATATAGAGAGAGAATTAATACGTTTCCGATCGCACATATTGGTTTCTTCAGATATCGCAACGCAGCAACTGGGAAAACGGGGAAAATGAAAACGCAGGAAAAAAAAGAAATAGAGAGAGAGAGAGAGAGAGAGAGAGAGAGAGAGAGAGAGAGAGAGAAAGAGAGAAAAGGGCGCGCTATATCCGCGGTGTAGTGGTATTTATTGCTGCCATATTTATTTTGGCCTCTTTGCGCGCGGCAAACAATTGCGCGGCGAGACAATTTTTACTCTGAAAATTCCTACAGAGCGCTGCACGGAGGATTCAGATAACATGTACCGTATCCATGTAACCAACCGATCAAAGCCTTAGTTACTAAAGCTAATATGGCGAAATCGGTCGACCGAATAACCCGTATCCCCTTTCTATCCCGGCCAGCTGGTTTATTCAATTTCGCAGAATTGCTGATATCGTTAACAAAACCGGGCGGGGAGGGGGAAAAAGGAGCGCGAACTTCGGCGAGCTCCTCGGGCACTTCTCGCGAGGGATTTACCCGCGCCGAAGCGGATGCGAGCAGGATAAATAAATCCGTCGGAGCGCTCTCTCTCTCTCTCTCTCTCTCTCTCTCTCTCTCTCTCTCTCTCTCTCTCTCTCTTTCTCTCTCTCTCATTCTCTCGCGCAGTATCGCGATTTTTCAATTGATCACATCTAATTTACGAGCGTGCTCCGCGCTTTTCTGTGCTCGTCCAGCTGAAAGAAATAAATTCTTAAAGCGATTATCCTCGCGCCGCGAAGCCCGAACGTTCACGATAAATTAGCTTTGCCCCGCGAAGCGCGATCGCGCGGGATATCTCTCCCTGACAACGCTCTCTCTCTCTCTTTCTCTCTCTCTCTCTCTCTCTCTCTCTCTTCGTGATATCTCTCGCGAGATGGAGTCGCGCTGCCGCGAGCCCTTCCCGCCGAAAACGCGAGATACTGGAGATATCCGTCGTGTAAAATTACATGTTGCGCGAGAACGAGCTGCTCTGTCTCGCCGCGTAATGCTCGTGTCACACGCCGGCCATCATCGTCGTCGTCGTCGTCGTCGTCGTCGTCGTCGTCGTCCAAGTTTTCGTCAAGATTTCTATCGGACTCGCCTGTGTGCAAAGTGTCGGGTCGATATGCCGTCGGGCCGGATAAAGAAGTCGGGGCAAAAACGAGTCTCGCGAGAGAGGCACGGCAGCGAAAATTTAAACGTCACCGTGCACCTTTCTCCGCCTCGTTATGGCGCTGCGAAATTATTGTGCGCCGAGAAGCGAGCTGATACGGACTGTTTAATCGTTCGCCGGAGGACGACAGTCGAGGGGGTAGTTTTTCGGTTCGAGGCTTCAGTTTCCTCGCCGCTTTCTCCGCACCAACAACGCGAATGAGAAACAACGTGAGAGAGAGAGAGAGAGAGAGTCTTCGCCTGCCACGCGCTCTTATTGACCAATCATTCCCGCGTGCATCAATGTGAGTGACGCTCGAGCAGCTCGGTCGTTTGAATTACGCAACTTCGACGATGACGACGACGACACGCTCCGTAACGGGCGAAAGTAATGCTCTCCGACGAGGGAGAGAGCGCGGTTGGAGGAGCGCGCCTCTTAGCCTCTCTCTCCGCATTGCAATGCCTACGTTTTTTTGTTTCAGGAAGTCATGCTACCGCTGCGTCGTCATCCACGAGAAGCACTCCAACGTTCTCCAGTACAAAGAGAGTAAGTAGGAAAAATAAGTACGCCAACGTGGAGCGCGCTCGACGCCGTCGACGACGACGACGTCGACTGACGTCGCTCCGCGCCGCGCCGCGCCGGGTCGATAACGATTTGCCGTTAGCCCTCGGAGACCCATTCGTTCATTAGGATGCCGATCGTTAATTAAAAGCTCGACGATGACGGCAAGAGGAGGAGAAGGAGGAGGAGGAGGAGGGGGAGGAGGAGGAGGAGGAGGAGGAGGAGGAGGAGGAGGAGGAGGAGGAAGGCGACGATAATGATGAAGAAAAGAGAGAGGGGGAGAAAGAGAAAGAGAGAGAGAGAGAGAGAGAGAGACAAGAGAGAATGCAGCGAGTGAGTCGTAGCGCGGTTGAAATTATTCTTGGACGGTGAACTTAACGATTTTCCCTCGTCGCGAGAGAGGCGAGAGCGCGTCTCTCTCGCGGCGCACTGAACGCCGGGCGAAGGCGCGCGGCGACGTGTCGGCGAAGCGGTGTTACGAAAACGGTCTCGCTAATTCCGCCCCGCGGACTGCCAATCTCGTTTACGCTGTAAAGGAGATCGCGAATACCTCGCAGCGTTCTGCGGATACTCGTTTCCTATCTGCCTCGTTAATGCGCTCATCCGAGCGCGGAGAACGCGAGCGAGAGAACAAGCGAGCGAACTCGTCGAAACAGGATAATAATTCCTAACAAAATGCTACCGTATTTCGCACTCTGCATATCCGCGGATTAAGTGCGCACTGGCCACGTTCGCTTCCGGCTAGCAACTCCCGATGCCGGCGCAAATCCCAACGCGGATCTCCCGCCGCCTGTGTGTGTGTGTGTGTATGTGTGTGTGTGTGTGTTCGGCGAAGTAGTCCGGCAATTGTTTCAGCGTATTCAGCGCGCGCGGAAGGTATCGCGACAGTGTCCACGGCCCCTTTCGACACTTTTCGACAATTCGCCATATTTATCAGCGCGGCGGAGCTCGCACGCGTGTCTACACCGAGCGGCATTGATCTCTTCGCTTTGATCACTCGCCGGAAATTCACTCACGCGCGTCCCGATATAGGATAAATCCGGATAGATGAGCATAGGGAATTATGGTCAATTGCTATATTTTGTTCATATATGCTAGGCGTCAGCGCTGATCGTCAATTGCGAATTCGATGTACCGCGAGTAGGTGTGTCTCTTTCTGATGCACGAAAACACTGTTATTGCGAGTAAATGAATGTTTTATGTTTCTATTAACTAGAGATGTGCGAATCGAGAATTTTTAATTCGAATTCGAATCGAGTCGAATCTATGAAATTTCACTCGAATTCGAATCGAATCGAATGACATCGAATCGAATCATTAAAAAATTTAACATGACTATTAAACATGCAAATAATGATGGAAGATTTTAATATGAGAGAGAATATTGATGTTGTAATATCATCTTAAAGTAAAATATATGTTTAAATGTTTAAAGTAATTTATAATTAAGTTATTAATTATAATAAGTTAAGTTAATTACAAGTTAAGGGTTCAAACATACAGGCCCAAATGGCTCGTTTTGTGACTGATGCACGCAAGCGATAATGTATTTGATTCCTAGTCGAATCATAGGGATTCGAACTCGAATAGTTCGCACATCTCTACTATTAACCTCCGAAATGTTTCACACGTCAAAAAAATACCTTGCGAATACGGTTTATTTTGAGTTACAACATTAGACTTTAGATGGGCTTTAAACGACTAAGAAAACATCGTATTTGCGTACTTAACTTCAAAGTTCGCCACCGACTACCGAGACTACGTTTCACGCGGTATACGCATCTTTACGCGAACTCTCCAAACGGGATAGATGGTTCATTGTTATCAGAGTTAGGGTTCAGCGTTCAGGATTAGGTGGGCAGCCTACTCAGCGAGAAATAGCAAGCAATGGACATCGGATATCGACGTTTTCTAGATGCTTTAGACGAATAAAAGACGTCGCGATCCGATATCTATTCGACTATCATTTTTCTCTGGATACCTAACATTAAAAACTTCAGTACTTCAATATTTTAAATAGCTTCTTGTCGCGTTTAAAAATGCCGAATAGATTTCTTTCTCTTTTCTCTTTTTAATAAACGCTTTCCCTTAGGGCCTTTTTCCGCGTTGCCGCTTTTCAACCTTCTCTCCAATTTTGTCCTTGGTTTCTATAGGAAACTTGCGGAAATATATTTTATTTTGTTAATAATTAATAAAAGGATTAATAAGAACGTTAATAATTAGTAAAAGGATGTAAAATATTAAAAAAATAAATAAAGATAAACAAATTTCTGCATGCTATAGGCATGCCCAACTATCCCTTCACATCTATTCCTCACAGAATATTTTTAACATTTCGTTATTGTTGGCGTTCCATGAATTTCTTTTTCAAATAATAAATAAGGTACAAAAATTCTTCCGTACCTTAAACATTATCCTCTACTGAGCGTGTTAATATGCTGTTGATTATTTTATCGCAATAATTTATATATAAATTTATTGCAATAACAGGTGTGTTATTTCCAATTAAAGAACTATGCCCATCTATCCCGGATAGATTCCTATATTTGCGCATCATGACTGTTCGAGTGTGAATAATAACGACGACGCCCCACATTGCCGCCTGTTTCATACGTGATTTCATATTTTTACGCGTGATGGAAAGCTCCGGTGAGAACGCCGAGAAATTCACGTACGACACGTCAGCATTGGCGAAAAGACCGGGCTCGTTACCGAGGGGCCGATTCGCCGCGCGAGCCTGTCGCGAGTTATAATTATCCGTATCGCGGGGATTGCGGGGAAGCAGCTGAATAACTCCGGGAGAGCGACCACTTGGAGCCCGGTTCGCGCAGTTTTATCGAGTATCGAGCGCGACGATACGAGAGCACCGGAGAGAAGAAGTAGCGGCCCGCTCGGAGTCTCGCCCACCCCGGGTGGAAAGAGAGAGAGAGAGAAAGAGAGAGAGAGAGAGAGAGAGAGAGAGAGAAAACGAGCGGAGAGACCGCTACGTCCGCCGACTCGCAGCTCGACGGAGGAGAGAAAAAAGCCGTAGGTCAACATGTACGAACGGAAAAAGCGCGCGACAGCGTCCGCGCGCGGGCGTGCGCTGGATCCGCCTCCTACGTCTCTCGCGTCGGCATTTTTCGACGATTTGTCAAAGTCCCCCGTTTTTCTTCTCTCCTCTTCGTTTTATCGGGCTTTAATCTGCATAGTGTCACGCCGCGGGCACCGTCGCTCGCAGGCTGCCTTCGTTGAGCACAGTTTGTCGCCGGGAAAAATGAGGGAGCGTAGCCAGCGTGAGAGCGCGCGCGCTCTCCTTCTCTCTCTCTCTCTCTCTCTCTCTCTCTCTCTCTCTCTCTCTCTCTCTCTCTCTCTCTCTCTCTCTCTCTCTCTCTCTCTCTCTCTCTCTCTCTCTCCTTCCTCCCCCTCCCCCTCCCCCTTCCCCCATCCCCATCCCTTTCCTCTCCCTCCTCTCCCCCTCCCTCTCTCTCCTTCTCTCTCTCCTCTCTCTCTCCTTCTCTCTCTCTCCTTCTCTCTCCTTCTCTCTCCTCTCTCTCTCTCTCTCTCTCTCTCCTCTCTCTCTCTCTCTCTCTCTCTCTCTCTCTCTCTCTCTCTCCTCTCTCTCTTCTCTCTCTCTCTCTCTCTCTCTCTCTCTCTCTCTCTCTCTCTCCTCTCTCTCTCCTGTTATCCTCCAGGCGTCAAAATCCAGGCAGGACTCTCGGCTGCGAGCGCTCAAAGAAACGTCCGATGTTCGGCGCAACGTCCAAGTGAATACGATATTCCCGAAGACGACGTGTTGCTTGATTGAGAGAGAACGCGTGATTGAGAGAGATAGACGAGCAACGCCGTTCGCGCGTCGCGACGACGATCAGACTGTCGACGTTGAACAAATGTTGAGTAAATATCGGATGAATCGCGCCATCGCTTTGTGCAATATCGTTTAATGGCCGACGTGCCTCTTTCTTTCGCCCAAGTTGCTTCTCCACGTTTGACGGCGAAACTGGACCCTCGGCCGGGCGTTTCCGCCTCGAGACTGGAGTTAACACGCGTTTATGTGAACTTTTTTCATCACCGTCCACGAGCGCCCGAGCGCGTTTCTAGCGCCCGTGCGAGAGAGAGAGAGAGAGAGAGAGGAAGAGGTAATTTATATATGCGCTGGAAATATTTGAATTAGAGGCGGCAAGGGAGTTTCAAGCGTACGCGCGCGCGTGCACTCGGCTGCCGCCAATAAAGAGAGAGGTAGACCGAAGACAAAAGTCTTTTGCTCGATTTTTCGCCGCTCGTGGCGAACACCTGCGTGCAGAAAAGTTAAGTCTCTTTACGAGGCGGAGTCTTCCGCGGCAGCTTCCCCCGCGGCGGGCGAGAAAGAAATCGAGGGAAATATCCTAAGGTTAAACTTCCACCGCGACTATGAACTTGCTACTCAGGAAGATTCGTCATCGTCCAACTCGACCTACCTCTCTACTCCACTTCTCCTCTCACTAACTCTCTCTCCTTCTCTCTCTCTCTCTCTCTCTCTCTCTCTCTCTCTTTTCGTCTTTACCCCGCCGACGTGCACAACGAGTCGACTCGTCGGCCGACGGTATATAAGAACTTTCCGTTAGCCGGCGAAATTTTTATTAACGTCGCGAGATCCTCCCCTCCCCCTCCGGGGGTAGTCTCGTAAAAGGAAATGTAACTGCGATTATCGTCGGCTCACCCGGGAAATGACGCGCGCCACTGGCGGAAGATTCGCTGCGGAGGCTCGCGTCGGTCCGCTCGCTTTACGTCGCAACGCGAGCGACGCGTTATCGTCGGCGGATACGCGTCACGGAAACGAAATCCGATAACGGTGATATCGCCCTCCGGAAAATTGGACTTTTTACGACGCCGAGGGATTTCTAATCGCGCCTGTCCCTCGAGTGATAATAACTTCATCTTTGTTTATTCCATCTTCGCTGAATCTCCCGTGGAGAGAGATCGCCGTCGCACGTCACGCCATGCCACGCGAATAAGAATCCGAGTGGAAAAGGGCCTGATTATTTTTCCCTAACATTAATCAGGCCCTAGAGTAAAGATAGAAAGACAAGAGCTGCCTTGCAAGATATGTGTAACAAATGTTTAACAAGTCCTTACAAGGCAGTATTATGAGGGCCTTATAAGGAAATATTTTTACTATTGCTGGAGTAAAAATATTCATTCTTTTCATTCCAAGAAATTTAGACTGCAATTTCTTTATTTCTTTATAATCTTGTTAGAACACAAGAATTTTTTTCAAATTTCAAAAATATAGCATACTTTACAATAAAATATAGCATTCTTTACAGATAAAAATCCTGCTACTGCTTTCATTGAAGTTTGCTGCGATTCAAAACGAAGGCGGTACTAGAAAAATCCTTGGATGAGATTAATGAATGTAGCAACCAATAAAGTTAATAAAATTTGTCTTTAATTGCGATATAATTAAAAAATCTTTCAAAGAACCAGATAGAGCGTGCCTACTAAAACAATACTAAACTATGATATATAATTTTATTACACGCTCCAGATCTTACTAATTTTCTATAACGAAACCTGATTCTGCACATTCAAAACATCCTCTTAAAATGTCCTTCTAAGGCCCTTCTCAGCTTTTCGTATCAAAGCCTCATTTCGTAAAATCTAAGCTATAATTAAAAGATTCATCTCGGGGCCTGATGTGGTAATAATGAGGCATCCCTTTTTAGGGCATCCTACTTTCAGCCTTATCGGGGGGGCTTATGCTTCGGAGGGAGCGGGAGGGGGGCGCGGGGGCTGCTTATGAAGATGGTCCTAACAATGTTCTGCTCGAGAAAAGATAAAATTTTGCGACGAGCGGCAATTCGGCGGAGACTCGCTGACTCTTTCTTCGCAGCGCGGCTCGCGAGAAAAATTGACCCGAAGGAAATTCGCCGAACGACGTTAGCGCCTTGCCGTCGCCGCAAGGCTCGCCGCATACGTCTTGCAAATCTTGATGGACAATAGTATCCGTCCGCTCCGCTCGTCCATTACCATTAAGCGCGCACCTGTAATCTCGTAAGTGCGAGTAATCGTGTTCAGCTCCGCGATTAATTCCGCTCGACCTCTCCTGTGTTGCAGCTTTTTGCCACGGCAGAAACATCCTGACGGCTCTCTGCTCGTTCATCACGGGCGATGCGCTGCTGTATTCCATGTTCCGCGAGGAGGCGCCGCCCGTGGCGTGTCCCTTTCGCGGGCCCATGACCTTCTCGTACAATCGGGGCCACGGCACGTGTTCGAACCCGCCGAGCAACATCGACACCTGCACGGACGACAGCAGGCTCCTCTTCAAGTACCAGGCCTGCCCAGACGTACCGGCCTCGGAGAGCGCAGGTAAGACGCAGGTACTTCGCGTTTGCGAAGACGATTCTCTCGTTCGGTCAAAAGCGAAACAGAAAGGAAGGAGGACCGACACACGTCGGTATCGTGCTCGCGCTCGCGCGACAGAAACGCCAGGGGAGTATTTTGAACACGGGATTTCCGGCCATTTTATTCCAGTGCTCCCTTTTCGCGATTTTATCCCCCCCCCTCCCCGCCCCGCTCCCCCACTCTCGCTCTTTCTGCCTCTCTAACGGGCTTTGACAAATTCGGTAAAATTTACGCCGCATTTATCAAAGAGCGCGGGCGCGCGCGCGCATAAAAACGAGAGGGAGAGAGAGAAGGGGAAAAAAGAGAGAAGCGAAGCAGAAGTTTTCCCGTTCGTGTGCGCTCCCGATGTCGCGCTGACGATCGAAGATCTAGAGATTTCCCGGGGATAAAGAGTTCACGCGCTCCACGGACGTGCGCGAGTCAACTCCCGCGGGAATTCACGGGCGTGTGTTTTTCTTTTTCAAGCGCGCGCGCGCGCGCGCTGTGAAACGTTTGCCGCGATATCGCAAATTACGCAGACACAATGCACAATTATATAGATTGTATCTCGCGAATTATGCAAATACGATTCTTCCGTGAGCCGGGCGCGTTCTTCGCTGACGCGTGTCGCGCATCGCGTTCCGCATAATTCGCAATAATTCGCGCGATAAACGTTAGGACGTGCGCGGAATTCCACCCGCCGTATTTTATGCACCCTCTCTTTACGCGCTCGCCCTCCCCAATACCCCAACCTCTCGCCGCCTGTATCGGTATATCCCTCTCTCTCTCTCTCTCTCTCTCTCTCTCTCTCTCTCTCTCTCTCTCTCTCTCTCTCTCTCTCTCTCTCTCTCTCTCTCTCTCTCTCTCTAGTGCGCGCGCTGTTTATTTGTTCGCGATACATCGCGAATTTATCAAAGGGAAAAATGTCCGAGCGAGATTTTCGATCCAGAGAGGATCCGGAAGTCCTTCCGCGGGGGAGGAACAGCCCCGGCCGGTTATCAATTGTCGCTGCCTAATAGCGTGATAGAGTGGCTTATTAACGTGATTGGTATTTCATGCGAACGGTCGGTCAGTCAGTCAGTCAAGCCAGTGACTCCGATAACCGGCTGCCGTCAGTTTGTATATCTTGCGCGCTTCAATTAAACGCTCGTTACGATGGATTCGCATTTAATAGCGCGGCGCAGCGAGATTAAATTTGTAGCGAATACGTTGGTGAGGGGAGGAGAGGGCTGCCGGGGGAGAGTTGGGGAAGCGGGCGTGAGCGAGTTTATGTGTCTACTTTCGGCGGACGTGTGTTCAATTTAATATTGCGGTATAATCGATGCCGCCGATAATCCGTATCGGAGCTGCCGTAGCGTTATCAATTATACCAAGTTACATTGCAAAATGTGCGGACGGCGTCTAAATATTCATCAACCGCACGACATCGATTCCGCCGGGCCGTCGCTGTTTAAGACCGTCCAAACTGTGTGTGCGAGCGCGACGGTCGGTAATAGAATAGAATATTCATTTCATACGCGCGCGAATGTGTGTCCCTCCCTCCCTCTCCCACCCTCCCTCCACCCACGGCAGTTTAATCATTTGCGCCGAAAACAAGCGAAACGGCATACTTGCGAGCGCGCGCGCGTTCTCGCTGTCCAAATGTATTTAAATTGTCCCGGGATTTGACGCGCGCGTCCGAGAGTCAAAATTTAAAAATCCGTAAAATCCCTGCGCGCGATGATATATTTGCCGAGCGACGTGTGCGCGTTTTTTTTTTCATTTTTTATTATGTACGCTCATTGCATAGGTTAAAATATATCTTGTTTCTACCTGCGTTTTCGCGATGGCGCGAGACGCAGGCGAGAGAGACGCGACGTTAGACTCCATCAAGTTACAAGTTTGTCGCATCTCTCTGCGTAATCCCGATGACTTCGCGATGGATTTTAAAGAGCGGTTGGGGGAGGGGGAGGGCCAAGGGCTGATACGGCGAACGCTGCGAGAATCGGCGTGTCGCCGCTTCCGTGCCCGCATTTTCTTCCATTTTCCCGCTGGCGTTCGATCGGATTTACTTTCGGTGCGCTTTGGTCCCGCCGTTTTCCAACGAAAATGGAAACAATTTCGGAACAGAATCAGTCCGACGAATCGTCGGACTTAACGAGCACTTTGCGGCGAGTGGCCGTTACGGATCCGGTCGTGCGGCAGATTTTTCAGAATTAAATCGACGCACGGATATTACGGCCTCCCCCTCTCATTCGGGAAGCCGCCGTTCGCGCGCGAGATGGGACATCGTCAGCGCCTTCCGTTTTCCCTATTTCGGCAACCTGTTGAGAAACCGATTTATCGGTAGCGCGCGCACGCGACGCGTCGCTACCGGCGAGATCCGCCGGCCGCGGAATCGATAAATTTCGACTCGCGTTTGAAAATTTCCGTAATTCAATGTAGTAATTTAAACGTTCGGCGCAGAGAAAAATCGGTTTTATCGCTCAACTGGTGTTTCCGAATCTCGTGACACGTAATATTTTAACTGACACTCCAACACGCGTCTCGCTGCTCGTCATCGAATCGGATTGATTAAAAAAAATAAATAAAACAAAAAACAAAAAATAAAAATATAAAATGAAATAAAGCACACGCACGCACACACACGCGCGCGCGCGCGCGCGTCCGGGAAACTATTCCGGGCTTGTAACGCGCAGCTGGAACGCTGTTATCAATAGCAATTATTTCGCCGTTTCGGGAGACTCGAGGCTCTCAAAACTCGATCGATCACGCCCGCGGTTCTCGCGGAAATTGATTACGCGCGACCCGCGTCTCCCGGCGATCCTTCAGACGCGCGCGCGTGGTCTGCCGGTCGGTGCTTCTCTCCTCTCCTCTCCTCTCTAGGCGTTGCTCATCCGCAGTATACCGCGAGCTATCCTCGCGGCCAAGATTGAACGAAAAATCCGAGTCCTCTCGTACGCTTTGACGGAGAGACCGGCGCGAACGCGGCTCAAGCGAAGCAGGTTAGTAAACGAGCGAGAGAACGAGGGGGCGGAGGAGAGCAAAGGACGAAGGAGCGGCGAGCCGCGTTACACTTCAGGAATGGGGCTTTCTTTTTCGCGTGCGGCACCTCTCAAATTACTCGGAGATCAAAAAACCGACTCCTCTCACCGGTCGAGCGAGAGGATAAAAGGGCGAGAGAGCAGGCGTCGTCGTCGTCGTCGTCGTCGTCGCCGTCGCCGGTCGTGGCGGTGAAAGAACGAGCCGCGAGAAAGAGTCGACCGGAAAAAGAGGAAGGCAGTCGACTCTCGCGCGAGATGTGATTTAGATACGCGCCGGGATCCCACCGGCCTCTCTCTCTCTCTCTCTCTCTCTCTCTCTCTTTCTCTCCTCATAGTCCTCTCTTTCTCCTCGTTCCTAAAGAGCCGAGCAGACCGACGAGAAGGGGGAGGGCGGGAGGAGAGGGAGAGAGAAAGGGTGAACCGGTTGAAGCCGAAGTGGCGGAGGATGCTAGGCGGCGGCCAGGACGGCGATAACGTCTCTCGCTCTTTGCGCGCTCTTTCGAGCCCGGGCTCCGGTCCCGAAACGACCGATAATTGTCGGTCTCGTAGGTCGCGTCGCCAAAGAGGAGAGATCTCCGGCAACGGCGACAGCCCGTAGAATCCCGGTATCGTTTTTCACGCGGAAATCTCCGGGCGAGCCCGAGTCGATCGCAAGCTCGCCCCGTTCGTCTCACCTCACCTCGCTTCGCCTCGCCTTGCCGCGCCGCGCCGCGTCGTCAGGTCGCTTTCCTCGTTTCCCCGTTCATTCGTCTTCCTCTGGTCGTCCCTTCTCACCCTCGTGAATAGCTGGGGATCCCCTCCCAATGGCGCTTTAAGGAGCGCCCCGGGAAGCGCGCCTTTACGACGCCAGCGAATATACATTTTTGCGGCCGAACACAATGCGCCGCCGACGCGAGCGCACCCCCTCCCCCTCGCCCCTCCCCGCCGCCGGCCCTGCTTTCGAACGGGGGGCAAAAGCCTGCCCCGACATTAAATACCTTTACGATCAGGCCGGAAATTAAATCTCGACTCTCGCAGCGGTGTGCTCACGCACGAAAAACCTGCTTGTTATCTCGTGTACTTAAAGTTCCGCGGCTCTCGACACTTCTCGATTCCCCACCCCTCCCCGCCCCGCCCCCAACCGCCGCCTCTTCAATGTTAAACGTACCTCGGAAACTTATTGCCGTTGCGATCGATATGATCCGTTAACCATGATTTTACCTGGACGCGCGACGACGGCTTCACCGCTGAACGCGTGTAAGGGATAATGGCGGCATGGAATTCGCAATTATGCGATTCATTTTATCCGCGTTGATATGACGTGACAGCTAAGACGCGGCTGAGGTCGAGTGTCTGTCAAAACTATGCCAATGAACTCGGTGTTATCCAAAGACGGCCAGAGGAACGAGCGAATTGGACGAAGCAATCTGTGTGTGTGTGTGTGTATGTAACGCGCATTTGCAGCGCTTGAAATTGATAGATTTTGAAAGTCAATTCGGAAGCTCGTCGTAACAGCGTGATCCAATATTTCAGAAGACGCTTTCCGTAATGCAATAAGTTGCACTATTATCTGATATGACAGTGCAGAAAGAGAGAGGGGGGGAGGGGGAGCGACGGAAAGAGTGCGTGGCATCAAGCAGCGTCGCAATGAAAGTGACAAAATTTCTCCGCGAGAACTGTTTACACCCCCCACCCCCGCTGCAAGTCCCGCTCTCTCTCTCTCTCGGCACTCCCCCTCCCCTCCGCCCCCGCCGTCAATTATCGCGAACGGCTAGGTACGTTTTCATTAAAATTGCACGCGACGAATAAAAATCCGGCGCCGAAGTGAAAATGGATATCGAAGTATGACTGGCGGGCAGCGATCGGTGAACGCGGGCAGTTTTTTTTCCCTCGCGTGGAAATCATGGCGGTCGTCCGTTTCTGACCGCCGGGCGACCGGCTGCCACGCGGACGATTCTCTCTCTCTCTCTCTTTCTCCCCCCCCCTCCGCCTCTTCTTCCTCTCTTTCCTCCCCTCCCCACACACACACACACACACACACACACACACCTCCCGCTAACGCTGCTTTTTCTCGTCCGTTTGCATTGGCTCGTTCCTTCAATGGCGTTTTCAGGAGAGGCTATCGAAATCCTCTTTACGCGACGGCCTTTCTAACCCGAGCCCCGAATGGCAGATAATGGGGTATGCCGAAAGTGTCGCCTCGGCGACTCGCCGCGCGAATACGAAGCATTAAGCTCCGGGCTCCGTCGAGTATTATATCGATATCTCCAAACTGAAGCGCTCCATGTGATTCCGTCGTCGCGCCGCGCGAATGAACCGGAGACAAGGATAAGAAAATCGCGCGCACGAGGCGGCTCGAGGAGCCACCGCGTCCCCTCCGTAGGGTTGCCAGATCCAAAAGTTGAAATTACCGGACATTTCTTCCTTGGTAACAAACGCAAACCGGACGGAAATAATAATCATAACGTTACATTAAATACAAAATATGACAAGAATCTATTTACAATATTAATCGCCAAACAATTTTATAAACAAGATTTGATTGAATAAAATAATTAACTATTACTGTTTTTAATATATATGAAATGATGGATCGGCAGATCATCTACTAGATGGCTTTTCGTGGCGCTCGATGGCGTTCGTAGGCGCTTGAAACGGAGAAACGTTGCTAAAATCTAAACTCTCATTCCATTGATTGGATATAACTTAAAAACCGGACATATGACGTCCGGTTTGACTTGTTAACCGGATACTGATACAAGACTTCTGAAAACCTGACAGTTCGGCCCAAAACCGGACAGTTGGCGGCAACCCTAGTCCTCCGCCGTTCCTCCCTCCCTTATTTTCGGCCGTCATAATTTCGTACTAGCGGCGAACGTCACTCGCTCTCCCGGGAGAGCGAAAAGCGGAAATAAGCGAAAGCAGCGGGAACAACCGCGACGCGACGTGTCAAAGATGGTATCTCACTCGATTCTCCATGAGCGCTCGGGAGATGCTCGACGATCACAAAGCTGCCGCGGAGCTAAATGCACGTTTGAAGGCTGAGAGATTTCACCGTCGGCGGCAGTCAGCCAGATTACAGAACCGTCGAGCGGACATCATTAAGAGTTTCGCTTTCAATTCTTTGTCCCGCGAACGGTTCTGCCAGACCCGTGTCGCGCGTGCCACCCGCCGAATAAAACTTTGGAGGAGGGGGGAGGCGCATGTATCAGGCTTAAAGCCGCAGTCGCGTGGAGAAAGAGAGGGTAGGAAGGAGGGGGAGGGGGGAGGGGGAGGGGGAGGAGGAGAAGCGAGTCTGGCGTGTAAAACGCCTGAAACTTCGAAAGCACGCCCGGCGCTCCGAGCGTCAAACTCAAATTCGTTTAATTTTGTTGCTCTAGACAGTTTAAATATTGAAGCGAGCGAGCAAGAGCGAGCGCGGTGTCAGGCCGCGACCGTGCTTCACCATTATCTTGTAACGCGTTTCCAAACGCTAAATGCGCTTTCGAAGTTCCGAATGCTTTACACGCTAGACTCACTCTCTCTCTCTCTCTCTCTCTCTCTCTCTGTCTGTCTCTAAGAGCACACGGTGTACAGATTTAGACGCGCTTAACGGCGTCGCGAGTGCCGTTGACAATTTGCCGCTTTCGCGAGCGCGAGAGGCTCCGCCGCGATCGCGTCACGCTCAGGCAAAGTAGATCGCGGAGCATTAACAGAAGCGGCAAGCTATTTTGTAAGAATCCCCTGAAGCCCGCGCTCTCTCGCTCGCTCGCTTCCGCCATGAAACTCGTCAAAGTAGCGTAAGCCTACGGGAAATCGCAGCGACGGCGCGCAGCGATGGCGACGCGGAAAATCAGCGGGGGGAGGATCCTCCTCGGGTCGGAATCGAGGCGCGACGGCGAACACGACGCGAAAGTCCACGAAAGCGACCATCAGACGCGGCGAATTTCAAGGCGGACGTGTGTTCTTGCGCGTTTCAGTGGAGGAGCTGGAATGTCTGGCCACCTGGAAGGAGGGCAGCAGCCGTTACTTGGTCGGCCGTCTGCATCACGGCCACGCGTCCAGCAACGAGGATCGATACCGATGCTTCGTCTACGAGAAGGCCAGCCAGACGGTGCAGAGTAGCCTGAACAGAGCCACCATGGGCATGGGCGCTATGGAGCACGAGGTCGCCCTGCCGGGCGGACCGGTGCCCGAAGGCTCCGCCGAGATATACCGGGTGGCGCAGAGCGGCGACGCGACGTGCAACGGCCTGTTCAGCCCGATGGAGGGCTCGCGCACGATGACGCTGAAGAAGAGTGAGTGTCCACCGTTTTATCTTTTCTCCCCCCTCCCCCGGGAGGTTTTTCGACGTTTCACTCTAACCCAGGCCGTCGCACAGTGGCCTGTCGCAAAACTGACATTTTTTTGTTCAAAACTTAACGAAATGAAACAAATTCTTTTTTAATTACTCGTCGAAAGATAACGGAAAAGACTGTCTGAGCCGATTTTTGAGAAAATTCAACCCTAATCTACAAACACATAATCCCATTAGAAAAATACACAACCCAATAACGAAAAACCACAATACATAAATTGGTAACTTTAAAACTCCTTCACCCCATAACTCAGTCACACCAAAACTACTGAAATACACACAACATAATAACTCCATAATCTAATAACTCCACAACCCAAAGACTTATAACGGAATAACTACAAATCAATTACTACAAGTGAAATTATAACTCAATAACACCGTAAACAATATCCCCATAACCCAACAACCTTACACTTCAATAACCTCAGAACTCAAACCTCAAATTTGATAACTGTATATCGCAATAACCCATAATTCAATATCCCTATAATCCAACAACCTCGTAATATCATGTTTTATTAAGTTGCAAAATAACCATATAGAGTAGTTATTTTGTTACCCAATAATCCAATAACTTAATAATCAAGTGTTATATACTGTATTTAGAATGTGCAACAATATATTCATACTACATATGAATTTATTGTTGCAATAACTTAAGATTCAGTAAAATCGAACTTGAAGCCCCCTCGTGGCACATCCTGAATACACTTTTTTATCTGAAAGGTGTAGTTAATTCGAGTTGTACTAGACTATGAGCAAAGTTACTATAGTTAGTTATTATAGTTTTCATTTTAATTATATGGAGTCATGGAGTCATTGTTTATGGTGTTACTGAGTTATGATTTTATTATCACTTGTAGTAATTGATTCCGTTATAAATCTTTTATGGTTATGGAGTTATGGGGTTATTAGATTATGGGGTTATGGAATTATTATGTTGTGTGTTTTAGTAGTTTTGGTGTGACTGAGCTATTGAGTGAAGGGCTTTTAGAGTTAAAGTTACCGATTTATGTGTTGTGGTTTTTCGTTATTGGGTGGTATATTTTTCTAATGGGATTATAGGGTTGTAGGTCCTTAGGGTTGATTTTTTTCAAAAATCGGCTCAGATAATCTTCTTCGTTATCTTTCAACGAGTAATTTAAAAAGAAAATTTGTTTCACTTCGTTAAATTTTGAGGTCTCTAAACCATTTTGAACAAAAAATGTCAGTTTTGCCCCGTTGTGCGTCGTCGCCGCGAACTCGACATTCGCGCGATTATTTACAGCGACGCGTTAACCTAACCTAACCTACAAAAATAACGTCGTCTCAGCAAGAACGAAATGACGGGATAACCATGACCCACTAAAAAGACAGATTTCGGAGGATGTTATTGTTTGATTATTATCGCGACACAGGTGGTCCTTTGGTCGTCGTTGAACGATCGCGCGGCTAGGCGCGATCATGAAGAGCCCCGTCGCGCGGCAAGGTGGACGTTGGTCGAGCCGACAGAACCGCGCGGGGCGCGGGCGGGGAAACTGTTAATTGTCATGAGATATCGCGCGGTAATAAATCGCATCAGCGGGGATCGTGCCTTCCACCTAGTCCACCGCGATTTATCATCGTTAAAATTTTTCCATTTGCGCCGCTCACTCGTAGATTTTAATTATTACAGTGTAAATACGTGCTTGACGAGGATTCCCATCGGGACACGCGGCCGGGCGTTTCAATTTATCGTTATTTTCCGGCCGGCACGGATTTTCGAAATCTCTCCTTTTTTTACACGGCCGACGCCGCGCCCAGCGCAGATCGCAGGTCGCAGCCGCTGCCGCCGCCGCCGACGACGGCGACGACGACGACGACGACGACGACGACGACGACGACGACGGCGGCGGCGGCGGCGGCGACGGCGACGCTTCTAAGACACCGTTTGCGTCTCCGACAGCACTTGCATAACGATCGCCAACGAGGTCGCGTAACATCTTAAGCGGGACGCGCCCGCAGCACTCGACAATATTAAATTATAACTTGCAAAATGCCAGCGCCGGGAATGGACGCGCCGCGGCCACGCGCGCGCGGTTAATGTAAATGTACACTTGAAAGAATTGCTAATCAACGTGCTGTACGGGTTTTTCGTTCCATGAATAAGAAGAGCGTGTTTGCGCGACGTCTACGCCAACGGCACTACTATCTCTCTCTTTCTCGTCCCCTGGCCCCCCCTCTCTCCTCTCATCCTCTCATTTCCCTTCCCCTCTCTCTCTCTCTCTCTCTCACTCTCTCTCTCTCTCTCTCTCTCTCTCTCTCTCTTTGGCGTGCGCGCGTTTCCGTCTTACTCGCTTTTCATCTCGAGCTCGCAATCCCATCTCGCTTCGTTAATGGATTCATATATAATTACCGGGCTTCACGCTCGCGCATTACGCTTGATAAATATCATCGCAAAGGGGGAGGATATGAAAATTCTCGGCCAATGGAACCGACCGCCGCGCCGGGCTGCTAGGCTTCAACAACACGCGCCGCGAAACCGCTCTCGCTCTGCTCGCCGATCGCACGCCCTCAGCCTCCACCATCTACCTGCTCCGCCATCATCACCACGAGCGGCGCCATCAGCTCGGAAGTCGACCGACCGACCGACCGACAGACGTATGTACGTACGTTTTTCCGCCTCGCGATTTCCACGGAGCGCGAAATTTCCGCCGTGCTCGTGCCGACGGAATAAATAACGTTGGATTAAACAACATCGTAATACCCGCGGCTCTTCTATTCCGCAGCCCCACTCTCTCTCCCCGTCGCGTCGGCCCCACCGAAGTCTTTTGATCCGAAATGTACACAGATATTTCACGCTCGTAAATATCTCATGTTTCCTTAATTTCGCTCGGTGTTTCAACCCCCCGGCCTGCCGCCCGCGGGGTCGATGGCGATACTCCGCGTAATGAATTGCGACCGCGATGTTATCGCGATATCCATAGAAATTATCGGACGAGGACAAAAGCGACCGGAGTGCAGGAGAATGAGGCGGGCAAAGGGGTGATAAACAGGATTCGGGCACCAGGCGCCGCCTCGCCTGTATCTGAGAGGCGCGATTGTGAAATCGGATACGCGTCGCTGCACACCAACCCCGTCCCCGTCCGACGCAACATAAGATCCACCGTGAAAAGTGACCGATGTCCAGCCGCCTGATTGTTGTTGCGCGGCATCGCCGATGAAGAGCCGACTCGAAGCAGCGCCCTGAGTAAAAGAATTAATAGGGCTCTGGTAAGGGCCGGATTACTTTTTTTTTCCCTAACATCAATCGGGCCCTAATAGGGATAAAAAGACAAAGACCCTACAAGATGTATACCCGAACAGAAATCAAATACGGCAATTTTTTATGCCTGATATAGCATGACTGGGCAATCCATAAGAAGGTATTATGAGTGGTCTTTATCCGATCGGAATGTGGCAATTGTCTTACAATATTTTCCGGATTATACCCTGACCAGCAATGACGTCATTATTTGGATGCCTGATTCGGTCCTGATGGACATTTGATCAGGTTTCTCGATTTCAGGCAATTTTATCAGGGCATTATGCAGCAGTGCGTTTCACTCCTTATTACGTGCCGGATCCGATAAAGTTATCCAGGCCCCATTTGAAATTTGGAAACCGGACTGGGTTTTAATACGGGACGATGTTCTGCTCGGGATGTGTAACAAACAGGTCCTTATAAGGCAATATTATAAGGGCCTTATAAGGCAATATTGATAGGGCCTCACAAGAAAATATTTTTATTATTGCTTGAGTAAAAATATTCCTTCTTTTCATTCCAAGAAATTTGGACTGTAATTTCTTGATTTCTTTATAACCTTGTTAGTATAGAACAAGAAATTTTTATTTTAAAAATATAGCATACCTCACAATAAAATATGGCATTCTTTACGCATAAAAATTCTGCCACTGTTTTTATGAAAGCTTGCTGCATTTCAAAACAAAGGCAATATTAGAAAAATCCTTGGAAGAGACTAATGAATATGGCAACTAATAAAATTAATAAAATTTGTTTTCAATTGCGCTGTAATTAAGAAATCTTTAAAAGAACCAGATATAGAGCGTACTAAACAATATTAAACTATGAAGTTTTATTACACGCTTCGGATCTCATTTTCCATAACAAAACTTGATTTTATATATCTAAAGCACCCTCTCTTAAAAGATCCTTCTAAGGCCCATATCAGTTTCCCATGTTAAAGCGTTATTTCTAATACATAAAGTAAACAAATTTTATAAAATATTATAAAATCTGACGCATCCCTAAAAAATCCTTCTAAGGCCCTTCTCAACTTTCCCTATCAAAATCTTATTTATTAAATCCAAGGCATTCTCTAAAAAATCCTTCTATGACTCTCATCAGTTTTCCTTATCAAAGCCTTATTTCCTAAAATCTAAAGTATCCCTGAAAGATCCATCCCGGAGCCCGATGTGGTAATAATGAAGCATCCATTTTTAGGGCATTTTACTTTCAGCCCTATCGGGGCCTTATGCTTCATGAGAACGGCCTTAACAATTTTTTGCTCGGGGCGTTCGTGTTGGATGAGAAAGTTTCGCGGACGACATTCGTTGGCAAGAAAATAAAGCCGCGACTGGACGGCTCTGAGCGAACGCTAATCGGCGATGAGACGAATGAACTTTATCAAAACGCTATGCCGGTGCGAAACGACGCGATAGTGCGGTGTATCGCGCGCCAAAAGAGCAGCGATAGAATCCAAGCAACCCCATGCGACCTCCCCCGTCGCTGCCGTTCCCCGCGAGACCCGGAAATTGCGCGCTCGCAGGACGCGCGCTAATCGAACGCGTCAACACGCGCGTCCTCAGCGTCGGAAGGGGAGGGGGGGGGGGTGGGAAGAGAATGTAATATTTGCACGACTTTTCCGCATTCGTGCTCTTTTTATCGCCCTCCCTCCCGTTCGCTCAATCCACGCTCCT